AGAGGTGTAGGAGGAAACAGCAAGGTTACCCCAGGTCATTTTCCAAGGGTGACTGATAAAACAGCTAGATTGTCTCGGTTTATTTTTCCTCCCATTTATTCAGAGGAGGGGAAAAAAGAGCATAAATCAGTACTTTTATTAAGTTTTTATTTAGCATTCATGATTCATTGAGATTTTGGTTGCAGTTCTGTTTGAGATTTTGTTACAGTTATGTTAAAACTTTGTTTCTTTAACTGTTTTTATTGTTTCCATACAGTTAAAGACTTTCTTGCAGTACTCTAAAGATTTGTCATTCGTTTAAGAAGTTGTTGCAAACTTGGTGAGGCTTTGTGGTTGTACTGTGGAGACTAATTGTTGTCATACTAAAGAGATTTTTTTGCCAGATAGTAGGACTTTTTGTTTGTTTGTTTGTTTATCTTTAGAGATGTTGTTGCCATACTGTTGAGATTTTGTTTTACTTTTAAACAGACTTTGTTGCTTTGCTGCCTATTGTTGAGAATTTGTTGCCATACTATGGACCATACTTACAAGATCTTGTCCAAGCCCCTCCTTCCCCACCTACAACTTTGCCGGGCATTGCTCATTAAGCAAAGAAAGTGTATCTTTGTTTTGTTCCACCCTCACTGTGATGGAATTCAGATTGCTTACAATATTTCTATCAGTTTTATGGATGTTTCTTTGGTTCAATATTTAAAACCAATCTCCTTTATATCCGATCCTGTCAGATGTGCATTTTGTGTGAAGAATTGATTGAGGGAAAGATCTGTTTATGACATAATCCTCATTTGATTATATAATATTATCATACTCATATCTTTCGTCATATAATAGAAATCCCCACCTTAACAGTTACTGCAATGAATGCATTGCTAATTTAAATTAAGAAATTCCTGTAAGCAATAAATACCGAGATTGAAAACAGTACTTTTTCGATTCCAATTTATTTCTTCAAATCAAGATAGAAAATTCATTTTGCCAGAGGATTTATTTACCGAGTGTTTCACGCAGAGTAATCTTGCTGGAATACATGAAATATCTTTTTTCGCATGATTGGCAGATACAGTTGCACGGAGAGATCTTCCCAAATATAAATCTGTAAATACTGGTTCCCGGTGCCAAGATTTCCTAACCATGTGAATTCTGCTAATTCCACTGACTTCTGTAATCACCTTATGGTTTAAAAATATATATTGACTCTGCTCGATGCTTGCCGATAGTAGATACCTGAGCTTTTCAATGTTTTGCCTGTTTTTAATTGTTCATTTTTCAAAGTAATTTGGCAGGATTCAATAAGAATGTGTTTTCTGTGCCGTTCTGTAAGAATATTAATTTTCCTTATGCTATTTTGTTACCAGGCCCTGATAAAAGGTATTTAGGTAATAAAATGTAAATATCATAAGCATGCTGCAAGACGGCAATTTCTATTCTAGTAATAAAACTTGGGGGATGAGTATTTTCGATGTTTGTTTTTCAATTGGCACTTCATAGATATTGTGGAATTTGACAAGTTGATCACATAAATGTTTGTTATTTTATTGTTGTTTCATTGATTAAGTTTTGGCTCATAAAACATAATAGCTCTTCACATATCAGGGTTTATTGGTAGTCTAATATATAAGTGGTTAGCTGTTTTAGATATCAAAATATTGATGGTAATTTATCTTTACTTCAATTAATAACCTGAATAAGGTATTCAAATCTACTTACTGGCCTGACTATGGTTACCAGAATATGCGGTGGCTCCCTAACAGCTTCTTAGCTCAATAGGGTGTCCAATAGGTTTTGTAATCCAGGGGTTGGTGGTTCGATCCTCCAGCACCTAGGAGGTAAAATTACTCCATGACAATTGATATCAGACATTGGGTTTAATGGTCATTTGGCTATCTACTATATCAGACATAATATTGGATTAGTAGTCAGTAGTTATCCAGGAAAGCTAGTAAGGTTGAATGACCGTGAGATTTAATCAAATATTTGTTTTATAATTGGCTAAAAAACTAGACAAGCAAACAACTAATTAATGATCATAATCTAAATAAAGCCCCGGTCACATATTCACGGATAATGCCACGGAAGAGCTACGGTCTGATCGTTTACGGATTACTACGGAAATGTGAAATTCCGTAGTCCGCTACGGTTCCAGTACGTACACACAACGGTATGAGCACGGAGTCCGACGGATTTACCACCAAAAGTCCACTGAGAGACACGGATTGTTACGGACCGACACGGTTTGATACGGAGCGACACGAATCAGGACGGACGCGCTACGGATACACTACGGTCTGCTACGGTATAAGCACGGGTTAGTACGAATAAGTACGGTCTGATACGGAGAAGAACGAATTGATACGGAGAAGAACGAATTGCCACGGATCTAAACGGATCTTATATATCCGTCCACAACCTCTTGCTTGCTCATTTTCAAAATGTCTCACAAGAAAAGAACACCTAGAAAACGAATTGCAGAGTTCAATGGTTTTGGCGAAGAGGATACGGCCTAATCGCGTCCGACCCCCGAGACACATCAGGTCCGATTAAAGTGAATTTCTTGAAGGACGCTTGATCCTCAACAAGTTCGGCCATGAGAGCCTCATACTAAACATGAAGCTGTCTTCGTAAAAGTCCATCTCTAGTCCACCAACTCGTCTGTCTTCTCTTTCTTGATTAGATATGGACTAGTAATCAATAATGAAAAATGTCAATCAATACTGCTTCTCTTTTAATTATAAGATTTGCTGTTCATTTAACAATTACATTAATAATCGTGAATGTTTTTGTTTTACAAATATGTAAAAAGCTCGTTAATCAATCTTATTATCGCTCGATCAAGGGCCAGCGTCCGAGGCTTATGAGCACTTTATGTACATATTTACTCCAATTTCACGATCCAATGTTTGTAAAATATATAACATTTAATGTTATTCTATTACTTATGAATTGTAGTACGGTATAAATATAAATTTACTTCTATGCATGCCATCAAGCAGATCGACCACTGCCTCCGCATTCTTAGCCATTTCAATATAAAGTTGCGGCCAGTAAATGGCAAATATCATTTATTTTATGTTCCCGCAAATATGTCTGTTTTTAACAAGAAGGTAGTATTCATACCCTTGAAAAAGTACATGATACTTAATTCGTCCGTACTAAACAGTGGTGGACCGTACCATTCCGTACCGTTTCGTGTTGCAACGCAATAAACCGTATAAGACCGTGCTAATCCTTGCCTCTCCGTAGTACAACGTATTACGATCGTAGCTTTCCGTGACAATGCCGTATTTATCCGTATTAAAACCGTAGCTTATACGTAGGGTAACCGTACAAATACGTAGTTCTCCGTACCAAACCGTGGAAATCCTTGACAAGTTGGTGGACTACGGATGAGTACGGACTAGTACGGTTTTTGCACGGACCAGTACGTATTAGTACGGTTTAATACGGACTAGCAGGGACACGCTACGGTTGATTTTTCCGTAGCAAATTTTTGTGCATGTTCAAAAATTGTCAAGGATCGCTACGGATATACAAGGACTACTACGATTGATTACGGTTACAATACGGAGAGCTACTGACCAGTACGGGTAGCTACGGACGATGCCGGAATTAATCCGTGGCTCTTCCGTGGGCGTATTCCGTGAATATGTGACCGGGGTATAAGGAAAAAGAACAAAAAAAATAAATCACTTGTTTATTACTGTAATTTCTGCAGCTTGCATGCAAAGAATTAATAATAGCCAACATTGCCAGATTTGATGCAATGAGATTTGAGATTCTAATAAGTATTCAGCATGAAAGAAAACACAACAAAAGTAACTATATTGATAAATTTGATAAGATTTTCATCAACAAATATTTTGTAAAAGCTGATTTGGCAATGGGAAGATTTATACCGAAACTTGCCAAACAATTTTGATGTTTATTGTCTTGCATCCATTAAGAAATTGAAAGATTTTATTGCTCCTGCAAGTAAGTAAACTCTGTTTTAAATAGAGTTTTTTTTATGTAATTATGGCAAGAATTGTGTGGTAATATCGTATTTCTGAGAAATTCAGAACTTGGGCTATTTTAAGATTAAAAGTTTTTGCATTTCAAGCAGTATATAGCTTTTATGAAGTAATGTTTTTTACACACACAGATGTTGAATTGTTATGTTTCTGACAGTATTTTGATTTGATGTGAAGTTATTTTTTGCAATGTATCCAAGACCGAAATATTGCTGTATATTTTCATACGAGTCTGGAATTCTTCAATTTCTCTTGTTTCAAGTTATAGGTTTTGATGATAACTTGTTTCAGGCAAGATAGATAATTTGATTTTTTTGGTGTTAGTTCACAGGTGTTGAATTCTTGTGTTTCAGGCTTTGAAATGATGATTTGTTTGAAGAAAATTAGAAAATTTTCAACAAATAAATTGTCTTCTTGCATTTTTCTTAAATTTTGCTGCTGTTTCACATATGTTGAGTTCTTAGGTGTTATATATTAAGACATGTTTGGGTTGTCACACACATGTTGAATTCTGAAGTTCTTATCTTTCGTATTTTATATTGTGTTACTAACATATCTTGTTTGTTCGTTTGCTTTAAACAAAATTGTTATTTTGTGAACATATGTTGATTTCATATGTTTAGTAATATATGTATTTCTGTTTGAATCACACATGTTGACTTCCTGTGTTTCGTAAATTTAACTTTTGTGAACACATGTTGACTTGATATTGTGTTATATAAGATATTTCTGTTTTGTTTCGCACATGTCGTCTGCTTAAGGTATTTTGTGACATACAATATTTCAGTTATGTGAACACTCAGTTACAAGTGTTGACTTCTTGTGTTGCATTAGATATTTCTGTGTTGTTTCACACATGTTGACTTCATAAAGTCCTGTATGACATACCATACCCAGTATTTTTGTTAATGTGAACACGTGTTGACTTCTTGTGTTACATAATTTATTTCTGTGTTGTTTCTTACATGTAGATAATATTTTATATATTTTCAGGTAAGATTCGTAATGAGATGATGGACACCGAGACTGAGAAGACTCCACTTCAACAGAAACTTGACGAGTTCTCCCAACAACTTTCCAAGGTGATCACCGTCATCTGTATCGCCGTGTGGGCCATCAACATCGGACATTTCAATGACCCTGCTCATGGTGGATCATGGATTAAGGTATGGTGTTGACAAAATTCAAGGCTCTAAAGCCATTATATTTGTGAAAAATTTCATCATATTTAGCCACTCAGTCTGTGTGTTATATGAAGATCAGGCAAGCATTTTACTGACTCAGAGCAACAAAAAAAATCAGAGTTGTCCAACTGCTTAACATATAAATATTACACAGAAAGGTACAAAATTGGTCAAAATTAATACAAAATTTTGAAGGAAGGAATTCTGGTACTCTAAGGGGAAGAGAGGCCTGTTGACAAACATATCAGGCTCTCATAAATTTAAGCCTAGTAATTGTCACAAGCTTGTTTCTATACATGTATATGGCATCAGCACTTAGTCAAGGGAGGGAACTTGAAATTGACTTTAAAATATTAGCATAACCAGTCAAAAGACATAGGTGTTAACTAGGACAAAAGTTATAGGGGCTTTAAATTGACTCAATCATATTGAATTGGCATATTTTCATGAGAATTAACTTCTAGACAAAATATCCCAGCATTTGCAGTAAGCTGCTATGATTCGCATTGTTGTCAAAATTACGCCAAATGTAGGCTCCTGTTACCATTTTGAAAATTACACGAAAATTATGTTCTTCTCAAAAGTTTTGCCGCCTAAAAACCCAACAAGAATATGATCAGGAAAATTGCATTTCCTGAAGACAAGTTTTCACTTTGATGTCTTATGTTTCGAAAAATAAATTTCCAATTTCGATCCCATGAATGTCTACAGTATATATATTTTAATGTCAGTCTTGTAGATATAAATAGACTTTATTCCTTGGTCTTACAGTTAATAGACAGACATAATGTCTAGGTTTTTGTAGACAGCGGTATAAAGTAATACAACAAATCATGTCCGATGACGTTGGTGCCTTGTTATATGCAGTTTTCACGATATTCTGCCATTAATCTGAATTAAGACCGAAATAAATAAATGATATTTTGTACTTATTTCCAGACCAAACTACATTAATTTTATATATGTTGCAGGCTTTTATATATATATTGATTCATTATTTCGTCATGAATTACCTGCCACTCAATGCCATGAGTTCCAATGCCACATGGGGATTTGATCTTGCTGGGATCGGAATTCTTTCATATGAAGAAGCTAGCCAGCTATAACTGAAATAATGCATGAGGGGGCATTTTTTGGGTTTTCCTCTCATACAAAATCTGGAAAGGTTCTGTATGACCTAGTCATTACAAATTTGATGCTACTGAAAATGAAACCCCTTTATTTTCAAACCCCTTTTTACTGCCTCACCAAAGGATTAAAAATTCAATATTTTGTGTCATACAAGAGATGGCAAATAAACCCCATTTTGAATTTGCCCTCACTTTTATTAAATAAGAATTATCTATAATGCATGACAGTGTGGCTGTTGATTCATGTTTTAAAATGTAAAATCTATGATATTTTGTTATTTTTGTTCAGAAAATTGATTGCATTAATCGACAAAGGTAAAATATATCAGCAGACATAATTTATTGGCTGGTGATTTATGCTAACAGGTGTTAAGATTTAAGATCCATCAAATTTCTATTTCCACCCAGCGTTGATTGATTAACATGGGTGAATGTTTTCAAAATAATTCCAGAATTCAAAGTTTCCAGGCTGCCTAAAACCATGTTTTTCTACACAAAAATTTAACACATTAATTGCTCAATACAAGATTTTCAGAATTTTTGTTTTTAGATATTAAAATATTGAACTTTCACCATCGTTAATTTCCATGAGACATAAAATGAGCCGCGTCATGACAAAACCAATATAATGGGTTTGCGACCAGCATGGATCCAGACCAGCCTGCGCATACGAAACATATATTAAATAGAGAAACTGATAGCGAACAGCATGGATCCTGATAAGACTGTGCGGATGCGCAGGCTGGTCTGGATCCATGCTGGTTGCAAACCCATTATGTTGGTTTTTCATGACCCGGCTCAAATGTTTTTGTATGGGTGAAAATCTAATGATTTTATTGTAACAGATGTTGCTCTAGAATAAAGATCAACCTTTTGAAAACAAGTGTGACATACTGACCATATCTACCATAAATTTGTTATAATGGGATTAACACTTCAGTACCAAATGACGGATGAAATTAATTGCAATAGCTGATTGTGACATACTGACCAATTCCCCCCATGTTCTGACCTAACCACCTTATGTGATAATGTGATTAATACCTAGAACTATCATGTGACCACTTTAAAATAAATGATTTAACACATAAAGCACGTTGAGTACCTCTGGTTACCTTTAAATCACATTGGAAGGTTCTTTATTATAGTATGAATTTTTCATCAAGGCCAACTCTGTGACATTTATGATATTGTATGATGAATATTGTCTTAAGAGAAAAATTATGTCAGAAGTACAGGCCTGTGAAGTAGTGCCATTTGTTCCAAGAGGCATTCGCAACAAAAACACTCACATATCACTAACCCATTCTTTGAGATTTTAGAAAACATAGTCTTTGGAAGTGTTATATCGAGGACATCACACAATGCATGCAGCTTATGCAATGATTGTTCAAATAGAAAAAGGGAATGCGGCCCTTAAGTTACAAGGTTCTTAACCGTTCTTTACACATGGATTTTAATAACAGACAGTCTTTACCACAGTTTTGATTGTAATTTAATATGGTTAAAAGTAAAGGAGCATTGTTTACATGCAAAAAGTTATTTAGAATTTTGATTGTTATGTTTTTCAGGGAGCTATCTACTACTTCAAGATTGCCGTAGCTTTGGCTGTAGCTTTCTTTAAAAATGGTTTCCTCTCATAAACCTCTCCTTGGGAAAAATTATTTTAATGGGTTTAAAATTTTTTGAGAACATAAAAAACCGAAGAGTGTCCAAGGTTTATTTACAAGGTGCTAGGTTAACTTCCCTTTAAAAAAAATTTTTTTTTTAAAACAAATGACATGTTGTCGTTCAAGGGGAAAAAAAAATAATGAGCTGAAAACATTATGCGTTTGTATCAGTTTTTTAACTTTTATGAGGGGTTTTAACAACAAAGGAACCCAACTCGCATTCCATGGTCTGGTTATTCTGTCCAAAAAAACCCATTTTTAGGTTGTTTTTATACTAAGCTTAAATTTGAAATTTTTCACCTTCAGGTACAAGGAGAATGGCCAAGAAGAACGCTATTGTGAGAAGTTTACCGTCTGTAGAAACCCTGGGTTGTACATCCGTTATCTGCTCAGATAAGACTGGTACCCTGACAACCAATCAGATGTCAGTCTGTAGAGTAAGTTAATAATAATAACGCATAAACACTCTATGAGTTGAATAAGGGATTTTTCTCCCTTTTTTTTCAGAATTTTTTTATTTCGGACACTCAGTATTAATTGCCAAGAGGCAGCTGTTAAATGTTGCCGTATACTTAGAATCTAAGTTTTGTGGCCTGTTTTGAAGTAATGCATTCCAATACTTGAGTGTTGATGAACAAATACTGCCTAAATCCATTCTAACGGGCATGAGAAATGTTGCACTTTTATAAACAAATTCAATTAAATTTAGTTGTTGATTTCTGCCAATCAGCTTCGTAGGAAAACTGCTTTGGTGTACAGGTCTGAGCCCTGTGAGCTTAAGCACTGTAAATGCCATTCTCTGATTGTAAGGCACTATTTTGGGACATTTTGTAGAAATATATAGTTATTGACCTAAATAATAAACTGTCCCTGTTTCAAATGAAGGGGCCTCCTTTACCGAGTGGTTATGGGTAGCTGGTTTTGAACCACTTGCCCCCAACAGCTGTGGATTATCCAGCTAAGCTCACGGAAGGTTGATGCTTCTGCTCAGGTCTTTCTTTCGCCACGAGTGTCAATGAGACTTAAAATTAAAACCAACCAGCATCAGTGCCTAAGGCCAGTTATATAGCTTACCATCTTAATCATTCTGTGTTTTACTGAAAACTTTACGATAATATTATGTAAAGTAACAAACCATTTACAACATTATATTTTGCATTTTCAGGCGTTTTTCTTCAACAAAATTGAAGGCAACACCTGTGAGACACAACAGTTTGAAATCACTGGATCTACCTACGCACCTGAAGGCGATTTGTAAGTACAATGTGGTTGTTAGTTTAATTTTATATACCTAGAATAAAGTCCATTTAAATTGTTGTAAATTATGCTGTAACATTACATTAATGAATTGATGAGGTAGGGTTATTATAAGAACATACTGATCTGGGACTTGTATTTGGCTTGAGTGGCTTTTACTTGGCTGTGATAGCACAAAATGCAGGAGTGCTGAGTGTGAGTTAACCAAAGTTCAAGATCTAAATACTCATTTAATAACACTGATACCATAAACCTGTCCATGTATGTCCTTGCACATTGTATATATGTAATCACACCAAAAACAACATACAAGAGATAGCAAATGCAACATACTACGATGGCAACATGGCTGAATGGTTAATGTGGCAAACTATTAATCTAATGATCACTAACTGTGTAGGTTCAAACCCTGCCTGGGACAAGCAGTTGTTTCCGCTTGCAAGAAACTAAATTCATTGCTCAGTACTGGTTGGTTCAAGGAATGATTTTGAAAGTGCGTCAATAAGCTAAAGGCTTCTTAGACAATCAGCCTACAAATAGATTTTGTATCAACGGACATACATATATTTTTTCTGTTATTTTGTAATTATTCCTGTATAATTATGAGATATGTAATGAATTTATGTTTTTTTGTTCAAATTTTAAAAAAAAAGATCATGCTCCTATGTTTATATATACATGATTACAGGTACTTGAATGGTAAGAAGGTGATAGGAAAAGATATTGATGGACTTGAGGAACTTATGACCATCTGCTCTATGTGTAACGATTCCAGTGTTGATTACAATGATGTAAGTGGTAATTGTTTGAAGCCCTAACCACGCTTTATATTGTAAATGGACTGGTCCACCTTAGAATCTGGACCAAACCATTCATTATTTTTAGGGAAAATTTCAAAATATGACCTATCAATATCAAAATACAAAGATTGAGCTACCAACAGTATATAGAGCCAGGTCTGGCAGGTTCCAGCAAGTTAAGGGTTAAGAATATAGATATATTTTAGTTTTCCTTGGTAAAAAAATAGTCTGGATTACAAGTTCACATTAAATGAAGGTAAACTGACATATATATAATTACTCGTCATTTGTAGTATCATCTGCTGTTTAGATCAATGAAATACTGGATAATTAGTCATTTCATTTACATATAAAGCATGTTGTACATAATTTAACTCTTTACCTATTGAATTTATTATGTATTATGGAAATTTCCTTGTTTTGAATTTTGAAAACTGTCCATTAATAGTTTATAAGGGGTATCAGTTTTCAAAAAAAAACAAATAATTAGCTAACAATATAAAGCTTGGGCAGATTTCATATAATATGATAAATATCCCGATTCTATTCTTGTGAGATGAGTCTGTTATTCTTGCTTGTTACAGTAAAATTTAAACCATCAAATTGTTAACATACTTTTGTTGTCTTGAGTTTTTTATTGAACAACTATACATCTGAGGCCCAAAACCATACATGCCATATCACCTGATGGGGGACAAAAATCCTTGATTTTTGACCGTGTCTTTCAGTCTCTTGCTGTGGATTCGAAATCCCCAGATTTTCAAAAATAAAAAAAACAACAAAAAAAACAAAAAAAAAACCCAATGTTTTTACCAATAAACATATTTAACGATACACTCTAACAACTTTTACAACTATACTTGCCAAACAATTTATTCTTTGGGTAAAACAATGGTAGTGTTTATTCACTTATCATCATAGTGAATTCTGTGTACTGATACATGATTTACCACTTCAGGTGTTTGACATCCTTGTCAAAATAAGAATTTTTTAAACAGTCTTGTTATCTTCTTAAACCATAAGATGATGCCATGTTCTATATGTATTTGTAGGCTAAGGGAATATATGAGAAGGTCGGTGAAGCCACCGAGACTGCCCTCTCCGTCCTTGTAGAGAAAGTCAACTACTTCAATACCGACAAAACTGGTCTCAACAAACGTGAAAAGGGTGTGGCCTGTAACCATGTCATCCAACAAATGTGGAAGAAAGAATTCACCCTCGAGTTCTCTCGTGACAGGAAATCCATGAGCGTGTACTGCTCTCCAAACAAACCAACCCGCACACCAGGTGGCGCTCGTATGTTCTGCAAGGTAAACAACACCTGTGTGATTGATTTGATTGATTGATTGATTGGTGTATCAATATTTTTTTAAAGATTGAAATTTATCTTTCTATTCATAAAAATTAGGAGATTTAACAAAATTGTGTTAAATAAGTGCCTTGCAAATTTAGCAGTGTTTGAGATATTTTTTTTTCTGAGCAGTTTAATTGTGAGGCACTCTAAACATGTTTGAGGAGAAGAATAATTGATGTGGTCTGGGAAAGAGATTTTTGTGTCTCTTTTATTCATATGCAGTTGCAATACTGTGGCATTGAGGAAAATGATTTATGTATAACATAACAATTACATTGTTGAAATTGTATAATGACCTTGATGTGCTTTGAATTTGAACAGTCCATTTGTGCATAGTACATAATTATATATTTACAAGTTAACCCAACTCTGCACTGGTGGTGCTTGTTTTTTTTTTATCACCACAAGGATACAGTTTTATAAATTTGTTTAAAACCTTATTCTGGATTTATATATTACAGGGTGCCCCAGAAGGTCTTTTGGACAGATGCACTCATGCACGTGTTGGCGGTAACAAGGTACCAATGTCACCAACTATCAAGAATGAAATCATGAAGCATGTAAAAGCCTACGGAACTGGTAAGTCAAATAATTTCAATTTGTTTTCATGTGTTAAATTCTGTAAAACTACTTGTTAAATTGGAGTAATAAGGGAAAATATCAGACAAGCAACACATGGGGCATTGCACTGTTTCTAATGCATCTTGTACAAAATCTGGTCATTTTTCATATTTTTCTTGAATTTTATTATTATGCATTGAGTGCTGAAAACTTAATTGGAAAAAAGTTTTTTTTATCCTGAAGCTGTTTTTCCATTGGGAAAAAGTTACTTCCTATAGTTGTTTTTCCTTTTATAATATGAGCGGTCTAAGAACTGCTTCCATTCAAGAAATTTCTTCAAAGTTCTGCAGTTTTTCCCTTCAATTCTCATTCAATTCAATTTACATCCGCTTTTGCAAATATTGAATGTGTTTTTCACCAAATTAAGCTAAGGGCCCTCCTCTTACTGTGAAAAAAAAGGCACGGTGACCTCAAATCATAAAGCTGACTAATATTTCATGCACAAATCGAAGAAGGAAAACCTTTGTAAGGATATTTTCAAGCTTTTAGGAAAATTATCTCTTTTACATTTAGGTCGTGACACTTTGAGATGTTTGGCTTTGGCAACCATTGATGCCCCACCACGCCGTGAAGACATGGATCTTGAAGACTCCAGAAAATTCATCGAATACGAGGTACCTAAAATTGACTAAATTGAAAGTTTCTATAATTATGTCTTTCTCAGTGTTGATTTGATTTAAAACCCAGCCACAAAGAATTAGAATTTCTTGTATATTTATGCTTGTCTTTTAACAATAAATTAACTATGAACATCGGAATAAATCTTGGAAATTGAAGTTAAAACAGTACGATTAGTTACACCTACTAACGTTCCTCATTGACTTTAACTTTTCAAAGTCATCTTTTGATTTGTGGTGCGAAAAATCTAAAGTATTTATGTATTGAGCATAAAATAACAGTTTTCAGTTTATTTATTTTTAATGAATGGTCATTAAATATTTTTTTCCAGACAAACATGACCTTTGTTGGTATTGTTGGTATGTTGGATCCCCCACGTGAAGAAGTCGTTGATGCCATTAAGAACTGCCGTCTGTCCGGAATCCGTGTCATTGTAATCACTGGTGATAACAAGGTAACGAAGCATTTACTGAAATTTACTACATCAGTTGATATTTACTACATCAGTTGATATTTACTACATAGAATTATATTTAATTTACTACATAGACTGATATTTACTGCTTTTGCTGATATTTACTTCATAGACTGATATTTACTGCTTTTGCCGATATTTACTTCATTTACTGATATTTAGTACATGGACTGATAAATACATTGACTATTGACTGATATTTTCTACATTTACTGATATTTACTACATAGACGGAGAAATTACTACATTGGCTGATATTTACTACAGTAACGAATATTTACTATATTGACTTATAATCATTATAATTTACTGCCTCCGTGGTCGAGGGGTAAGAGTCAATGACTTCTAATCCAGTTACCTCTCTGGTGTGGGTTCGATCCCCGGGAGATGCTTTGGTAGTTTAGCACGGAGGAAGGTAGTCTAGTACTGTTGTTACTCTCCAGGAACGATGGTTAGGAAACTACCCGTCTATATGACTGAAATACTGTTGGGAAAAGGCGTTAAATGAAACAAACAAACAATCATTATAATTTCTATTTATAGGCCACTGCTGAAGCTATCTGCAGACGTATTGGTATCTTCTCAGAGACTGAATCAACTGAGGGTATGTCATACACCGGTCGTGAGTTTGATGAACTAACGCCTGAGGACCAGAGGGCTGCGGTAATGCGTTCGAGACTGTTCGCTCGCGTGGAACCTACCCACAAGAGTAAAATCGTAGAATACTTGCAAGGAGAGGGAGAAATTTCTGCTATGGTAAGTGAAAAAAATAACCACACACATGGTGTTCTGAGTATGATATTTTTGCTGTGGCCTGTCTGATTTTAGTCCAGCAACAGAGATAACTTTACGAAAAATTACCATTAAATTTTTGAGTTGCGACCTTAGAACAAGCCCATACTTATCAGTTGTAGCTTTGTATGTCTTTGTGGCTGTTTGTCACAAATGGTTAACTTTTTCATTCACCATTATTTAATATTTTGGATAAATTGAGAAAAGGTGACGATAATCTAATAGTTCAAATTTTATATCCAAACAAGTCTGTTATTAATATAATATAATGATATTCATTTTATTGTTAACTCAAAGGAATCTTTATGGCGATATATATTTGTTAAATTTATGATACGAATTTACAATATTATTAACAGACTGGTGATGGTGTAAACGACGCCCCTGCCTTGAAGAAAGCCGAGATTGGTATTGCTATGGGCTCCGGTACAGCTGTAGCTAAATCTGCCTCAGAGATGGTTTTGGCTGATGACAACTTCTCCACCATTGTGGCGGCTGTAGAGGAGGGTCGTGCCATCTACAACAATATGAAACAGTTCATCAGATACCTCATCTCCTCTAACATTGGTGAAGTTGTATGGTAAGGTTTTCTTTAACCATTATCTGTTAATAAAAGAATAACCTAGACTACCTTATCATGGAAAGTTTCTAAAATCAACTTTTCAGGCTCCTATTTTTGGAACTGTATGTTTTCAAATTTGGGATTTTAGGTTGTTCAGCCAACAGCTGTTATAGCTCAAGTATTCTGTCTTTTTAGCTCGACTATTCGATAAGAATAAGTAGAGCTATTGTAGTCACCCGAGCGCCGGCGTTGGCGTCCGCGTCGGCGTAACCACTTATGTTTAAGTTTTTGTATTAGTTCAAATATTTTCAGAGTCCATTGACATATGGCTTTGAAACTTTGCACACTTGTTCACCATCATGACCTCAACCTGTAGACAGGAGGAGGTAACTCTATCAAGCATTGTGACAGAATTATGCCCCTTTTTCGACTTAGAATTTATGTTAAGTTTTTGTAATACCTCAAATATTTTCAAAGTCCATTGACGTATGGCTTTGAAACTTTGCACACTTGTTCACCATCATGACCCCAACCTGTAAACAGGAGGAGGTAACTGTATCAAGCATTTTTTTTACTATCAAGCACTAAGAATAGTCGAGCGTTGCTGTCCTACCGGCAGCTCTTGTTGAATATTAACATTTCTTATCATAAGCAGGGTTTTGAGTGTTGTGAATTCAGTGAGTTTTGGTAACCCTTGATCACATACTATTTCGGTTTGAATCCTTTCCAGGTTTTTTTTAACTGTTTATTGGTTCCTCTAAGGTGACTGAAACTTCATGAAAATTAGCATTTATGATGCATGATCCTTTTTACCTTTTTTTGGTTTTCAGTTTTCTATTGTTTATTTCAAGATATAAGTTGAATTCTTTACAAAATTGAAATTGTCTAGTGTTTATATTTTGTTTTCAGTATCTTTTTGACTGCTGCTTTGGGTATCCCAGAAGCTCTGATCCCTGTACAACTGCTCTGGGTGAACCTTGTAACTGATGGTTTCCCAGCAACAGCTCTTGGATTTAACCCACCAGACTTGGACATCATGAGAAAACCACCACGTAACCCCAAGGAAGGTCTTATCACAGGATGGCTCTTCTTCAGATATATGGCTATTGGAAGTATGTTGAACGCATTGCTATTTTAAAAGAAATATGTCTATCCAGCTAGCTTAAGGAGGTCAGTGGTTCTACTTTGGGGACCCTTGTGCCCTAAATAATTGCACAGAGGGGCACCTAATATGTCCCTTTGCAAAAAAAATAAAATAGAAAGCCGCTCTATGTCAAGTGTTTATTTGACTGAAAACCTATCCGGAAAAAAGAAATAATCTTTATTTATATTGTGTTGGTTTCTGTAAACATACAATATTGCCTGTATTTGTAAAAAATTGTTTTAGTCTACAGTTTAAGTTTTCATTTTGTTATAGAGAAGTCATTTTAAAGTGTTTTACAGAATATTTTGTATCATTCAACGCAATATTAAAAATTTGTCCTCTGTTACTAGTGTATGTTGGATGTGCCACTGTGGGAGCAGCAGCCTGGTGGTTTATGGTATATGAAGAAGGACCCAAACTGAACTACTACCAGCTGGTAAATATTTATATTCTTTATCTGGTTTTATTATCTGCTATAAGGTCAAGCAAATCAGTTGATAAAAAAAGATCTTATTTAAAAAGTTATTGTATTTAGTGTAACTGGATAGTTTTGGTATATGACTGGTGTTACATTGGTGATTATTTTATTACTCAGCCTGCACTACACTTTTGAGAAACAACAGTCTTGCTAGCTTAAATAGGCTACTTGTGCCTCAGTTCATAAGAGAGGTAACTGAAAACTTAGAGTAACACAACTTTCATAGGGTCATATAGTCCGAGTTTTGGAATTGCCATTCGGAATATTAGATCAAAACTGTGAAACAGACTTTATGGATCAGATTCCGTTTGATTTTTTCCTATTATAAATCTAATTTATATCTTTATCCTTGTCTACAAGTATATGCCGTATTTAAAAAGTGAAATAGTTTCAACTGAACAATTACTTTTCTATTAAATCTGCACATGTTTAATTCATGTTATCATTTAATTCTTTCTACATGTTTAAAAAGATTTCATTTTCAGCAGAGTGATGAAGTGTCCATGAACAATGGAATATTTGTTTTGTTTTCACTTTTATAAGACTTTTAAACATATATTTGAACATAAATCTATATAATTCATTATTTTAAAGATTATTCCTTAAGTTTAATCATTTTTAGTTACTAATTCATGAACTTATAGACATATAGACATTGATGAATGAAATTATTGTTTAAACATGAATTTCATAAATTATATTCCTAGACATTGTGCATAAATTTTATTATTAGATTTTCAATCCATAAATTTTATTATTAGATGTTTAATCCATAAATTTTATTGTTAGACACATCATATGCAATGCCCGGCCGAGCCTAAGAATTTCCCTGACATAGATTGTCGCATATTTAATGCTCCTGAACCAATGACAATGGCTTTGTCTGTCCTCGTCACCATAGAGATGCTGAATGCCCTCAACAGGTAAACCTAGTGCATAAACAAAATGTGAGACAGGAAGGGCAGAAGCTGTGCATAAATGAAATTCATTCTGCCCTTATTGGTCACATTGGTGAAGGGAAATATTTGGAATGTTATTAAACAAAGAACTGTGCTTGTAAGTTTGCCTAGATATTCCAGCTTTTAGCTCTTTAAATAATTTTGAATGCTAATTTTATTAAGAACAATCATGAAAACTTGAGAAACTATGAAATGTGGACAATTTGTGAAAGTATGATTAAATGGCAAACTTTTTTGGCACAGTTAAAGAAGAATATTTTCTCTAATATGTCTAGAAAGTATTCTTCTTTATACCCATTAACTAAGTTCAAACATTTTACAATAACTTAGCAATTAGAGTGTTTCAAGAAAATTTGTCAATGCGAAAAAATATTTTAAAAAAAATAATGGGAAAATAGACTTCAAATGGTGGGGAATAGAAGTTAAAGGAGATGGGAAATATTAGCAAGAGGGCCAGTTAAGTTGGAGTCTTAAAAAAAAAAATGTATTTTAGGGTGGGTTGGGAACGGAAAGTTTTCTGTCGGATAACTGCATAATAAAGGAATAGAAAATGTTGTTGAAACCTCTACTTGTTAATCAGTTAATACCACAATCATGATATTTAAAATTATCCGAATTATAAAACTCTCTCCTAGACCCATCACTCCCAATGTCTCGCCCAAGACGAACGCTTCTATGGTGTAGACTGCTCAATTTTTGATCACCCGGCACCTATGACGATGGCCCTCTCGGTCCTTGTTGTCATAGAAATGCTTAACGCTCTAAACAGGTAAGGGTAGAACAGAGGAGCTGTTGTGTCCAGCATAATGATAAAACAAAAATATTTTGTACTTTTTGTATAAATAAAAAAAGAAAAAAATTAAAAAAAAAAAAAAAAGACAGCAAAATTCTTTAAGGAGTAGGGAATATTTTACAAGAACATCTCTACTCCATTATTTTGAAGTGGGCTAATAATTTGCGTACAAAACTTGATCAGAATTTTAGAAAAAAAAGATTTTCTCACTTTTGGACAAACAATTTTTATGTTTTTGTTGTATTCTCAAATCGCTTTTTTTTTATTATGGCACTGTTTTGTTCAGCACTATTTTGTATAAAAAAATTATTTATCACAAAAGAAATCAATATGTAAGCACTGGTAATTGTACTTTTTTTGGTGATATTATTAAAGCAGAGTAAAACTGCTTGGACACCTCAGTTAGCATGCAGGAAGTTGGTCTTGTTGGTCACATGACCTGTAGAGGTTTGAAACAGTGCCTCTGATTGGTTGCTTAGGTCATGTGACTATCTCAAGATCATGTGACGTGTTGTAGCTAGACTGGTTTGCATGGTTGACCAATACAGCACAGGGGGTTTCAAAAGTTCCGGACAGACAAATTTGTTCAAAAAGAAAATAAAATATATATATCTGTAGGACTCTTCAGCCTTGTTGCATGTTTGGTCAGCAAGGGGGGATAACAGCTGGACTTCTTTTCAGAAAATAATTTATTGATTTTTATTAAATTTTAATGTAAAAACTTATTTAAAAAAAATAGCAAACAACATTTTTGGAGAATACAGTGTCAGTCCAGGATTATACCCCCTTGTTGATTTGGAAGCTATGTATGCTGGACTGCTACCGTGTCGTGACTTCCTGGTTGCTTATATCCTTTCTGTTGCACCCTTCACACTTTTCTCTCAACACTGTGGGTACATGTCAGGCATTTTAAGCATTTTATTGATGGACGTTTAAGATGTTTTCTATGTTAATATGTATATGTTTTTGTGGTAAAATGTTAGATTTTGCAATTTATTCATACTGCATAGTCTCTGTGGCTTAATCCTGAATCTGCTGAATTTCTTAAATGGACTTGTCCAGCTTCCATTTTTGGGCCTGTCCATTATCATTTTTGGAGAAATCAAGATGAAAATTTAAAGTTACTCAGTCACCAGTATAGAGTCTGGTTGTGCAGGCTGGCGTAGCTCAATACTGTTGTAAAAGGCACAATAGTTTCAGTTCCAGCTAGGAAATGGTTAGGAAAAACTGATTTTGACTTTATCTGACTGTGAATTTACCGTTGTCATTTTAACCTGATTTCAATAGAATGCTTAAAAGCCTATGATACTGTACAAGTAAATGTATATGTTTGAATGTAATGTAACTAAAAATTTTGTAATGTTAACATTTAAAGAATATGTGACAGTGTTTCATTAGTTATATATTGAAACTGCGGCTGTTAATTTAAAGCGCTTAATTGATTCAAATATAATATTTCATGCTTGGTCAGTAACAATGCAACTAAAGATATTGACTATTTATTTTGGCTTATTACTTCTAATATGATTTTAAGTTTTTATTTTTTCATTTGCTGCTTCCAGTGATTTCATTTATTGTTAATAATAATTATGATTTGCTTGTTTTATTTTAATGGATAGAAGACAGTTTATATGCTTGGCTATATGCAGTATAGTCATTGGGTCACAGTTTTCGTAAAAGAAAAGCAGAAACAAAGCAAGCAAAAAAAAAAAGGAAAACATTTTAAAATGAGGTTAATTACTGGTATTTCCATAAAATATTGAAGTATTTTAATTTCAAAACTTACGCTACATGTATTTAGTGGCTCTGCAGTTGTTTGGTTTGCGTCTTTTGCTCGATTTATTTAGATAGTCGATTTTTTGTTCACTCATCTGTTGTGAAAACATTCACTTAGAAGATCTAGTATTAATTGTACATGTAGATTGTTTATCTTTGGTAATGCCGTTTGTTTATTGTAACAACTCTTGTTTTGAAATTTAGGATTATAATACAACAATAATTATGCTTGTTTTTGTTCTCACCATTTAAGGCGTGCTCTTAATTGAAGTTTCAATTGATTGAAAATAACTGCAATTGACATATTCTGCATGCATTGATTGCTAGCGTTATTTTTCAAGATGAATTGAGTTAATTGCTTTAAAATGGAGCTTTATTGGTAGGAGCTGTCTTAAAAGAGCGTTGTGTTTTAAAGTAATTTTGTTAATAATGTTGAAATTGTCATCGTGTTTCCTGTAAATGACAGTTTAGGGAATTAATTGATGGAACTTTGAGAGTTTTGACGCGATTTATAAGATTTTTAAGAGACACTTTAATTAAAGAAGCTGAAATGACAGGAATTTATTGTATGAATTTGACATTATGGACTTGATTTACTGTAAATGGAGGATTTTGTTTTTCATTTTAGAGAGCTTGCCAGCTTGCTTACTGGAGATTAGGTTCTTACTTGTGCATTAAATAATGTACTGAAGATAAGGTGCTTTCATTAGCATGAATTAATACTTTTGCATTAAATAATGCAAGGACAGGCACCTGGGATCTTTCTCCAGTAGCAAAGCAAGAAAGCTGATCTATGAATTTATATTCATGGTTGTGACTTAAAACACAACTAAATTTATTAAAAATAACATTATCTATGAACATGTTTTATTTTATGACTGGTTCAATGTTTGTAAAGTTTTGATTACACTATTTTTACAGCTTGAGTGAGAACCAGTCCCTACTGGTAATGCCACCATGGACAAACAAGTGGTTGGTTGGAGCTATCCTTCTCTCCATGGGACTTCATTTCTTTATCCTGTACACCAAGGTCATGTCGGTAAGTATAGTTCCTTAATATGCATGGGTGAATATTTAGGACTGTTTCTTTATAACATGTATTTACTTTACATTACTTGTATATACTTTATAAAGCCCAGTTTTCTTTCTAAACTAATAAATAGTGTTTATCTAAAAGAAATTAACTGGATAAAAAGGAAGAATTCAAAGAAACCACACGTCAACACCGGATAAATGTTAACAAAATTTTAATAAAAGATCTACCGGTTTCGAACCTATCTGGTTTCTTCATCAGAAAAAAATTAAGATTTTTAAATTTCTGACTTGTATCCATGAATTTGATCTGAATGGTCTAGAATGACTTGTGATGAAAATTTTCCTACAATACCTTATACACTCTTATTATTGCTCTCCCCTGTGCCCCCTATTTAATCAAAAGTAGAAAACATTTAAGTCTTGAAACTCTTTTTTGCTCCCCCTCTGCCCCCTATTTATTAATTAGTAGAGGCATATTTACTTGATGCTTGATGACCCATAGCTTGAATGCTTGGTTGACAGAAAATTGAGATTAATTCTTGGGACATCATTAATAAAATGATTTTTTGCATGAATATTTGAATGACAAGGAAGTAAAATTATTTTAAATTCAATACCTGTTTTCTGTTACGAATCAAAATGTTCATGCAGAATATTAGTTTTTATCATCCCATATATTATTCGATAAAATTTCTTGCAGAAAAGCGATGGTTCTCTCCTAGTATACGCACAAGCCTGAAATGATAGTGATATGACATTCGTGATCTTCTTTCATTAAATCTGTAATTACATCAAATGACCTTAATACTGTCATGTGACTTAAACAGTGTCATGTGACATTAATGGTGTCATGTGACCATAACACTGATTAAACAGTGTAATACGACATTAGCAGTGGTGTCATGTGACCTTAACATTGTCATATTACAATGACAATATCAGTGTTACTTAATACTCACATACAGCAAAAAAAAAAGAAGATTCACTTAACCACTGATGTACAAACTCGGTCCTTACCTTTTAGGTGTACATGTATATTTAAAACTCATGAAATAGGGTTTTATCAAGTTTTACTTGACTTCAGTTGTGAACATTGTTTTTTCTTTGTTTGTTTCAGACGATTTTCCAGATCACACCTCTAGGACTAACAGAATGGATGGCAGTACTAAAACTCTCGTTACCAGTGATCATACTTGATGAGACTCTCAAGTTCATCGCGAGAAAGTTCACTGATGGTGAGACCTCCTATTTTGAGTTGGCCATCATAATGATAGTCTGGGCATTGTATATACCCCTAGCATTTCATGGTTTTGTTGTCTGAAGGACATTGATTGTTACAACCAGGTTAATAACTGAGGGAGAATCACTCTTTACGTTAAACAAAAATTTCACGATTTTTTATGTTTTAATGTAAAAAAAAAAAATTGAACTTTTGGGAAACACATGGCGACGGTAACTTATCCACTCTTTAAGACTTAAAGTCTTGTTTTTGGGGTGTAATTTTTGGTGACAAATCTAAAAGATATAAAAAAAAAACGTGAAAAATTGTACCTCCAACGTGTAAAGATAGACATTGTCAGTTTTGAAAGGATGAAAAAAGTGCCCTTTGTAAGATATATAGGTGTTAAGATACTGACGTCAATTATTTCAGAAAGATGGTTGAAAGGCATATTATATGCTCAATCATATTTGTCTATTTAGTGTTGTGTTCAAATTTGTCAGATGTGGTTTTTCTTTCGTTGAAAATTTTAAATTGTGATAAAAGATTGGTCCATCGGGCAGAGTTTTTCCATAAAAATATGTTTTTGTTTGTTCTGCACTACCCCCCAAATTACTGTGTGGTGAAATATTTATTTATACTTTATGTCTTATTTTCTTTTGTAATTTTGTGATTTCTCTGGGGTTGGACTTGGTTGTAATCGAAAAAAAAATTATATTGAAACATTTTCTCCCCCCTTTGAAATAAAAAAAAAACCACAACAAATAAGTCCCTCCTACTTGTATTTTGTTCACGCATTGAAATTTTGAAATTTGAATTACCTCCCTTGTTTTTTCCCCTATTATTGCTGTGTTACCTCCCTTTACCCCAATTTTTACCAAATAATTCCCTCAACCTTGTATGCTTCAATGTGATCTATTTTTCCGCTAACCAATGTTTCAAAGTTATTTTAATTATTATTCTTAGTTATCGTTTGTTAGTTTCATCACACGTTTGTGGTTGTTTGTTGAAGCCCTTTGTTTGGCAAACACATGTATTCAATAGATGTCAACAAAACTTTTGAGTTTTTTTCAGATTCGTGAATTAATACCTATAACTTCTTTTAAAACAGCCTTATAAGATAAGTGGCAGATATATCTATATGAAATTTTTTTAATAGATCAATTCCGATAAAACTGTTGTATTGGCTTATTAAAATTTGTAATTAAAATTTATGAAAACTTTTATTAAATGTAAGTAATACATACCAGTCAAGCGAAATTAAGATGATAGTTTAGTTGACATACATTAATCAGTAAAGGGATGGTATATTATGATTTCTTGGGCGACGGGAACACCTTTTAACATTTGTAAAACGGGAGTTTCAAGTTTACGCAGTAATGCAAGGTAATGTGGGAGTTTCGTCTTGTAGTAAGCCTACCACTTAAATTTGAAGCTCCCATTCTTTGTTTCCTTAAAAATCGGTAAAAAAAAGCACGCTTGTTAAGTGACAATTGGATTCAGGGGTTTTCTACTTTCAGTTTTATTATGTTTTTCTTGATATTTTGTGCGATAGACTATACATGTATTTATGAACAGTATGACATATTTTTAAAACATTTTATTTCCAATGTCATGTTGTATTTTGTTCCATTGTTTTTCTTAGAATACCTGTCAAGTTGTTTGTGAATAGGGATATAAACGATTTCTTTAGGTATGTGTAAATGAATGAAGTCCTGTACATGTTATTTATTTCAAAATGGCGGGTTAAACCCGCTAGGCTTTAATTGTGGCAGTTAGTTTTCATTTCTTTTTTTCATTTTTCATAATTATTTGTAGAATTGTTGATTAATAAATTTTGTAAGATTTTTTTTTCTTCTAATCATGTTTTAAATTGGTAACACAAAACAGTACATGAGTTCATTATAGTCGAGACTTAGCTGAAATTATTTTTAAGCAGATTTATGTATATTTTGTGTACGCATAGATGCTACATGTATTTTTTTCCCTGCATGGTAAATTGTATATAATATTAATGTAGAATCAAAAGTATTTTTGCGATTGAAAGATTAATTAGAAATTGCAGCATTGAACTTTAAAAATTGCCGAAAAGGTTTTAACTCAATTATGTAAGTTTTGTTAATTTGCCATGCATTTTTTTTCCGAAACAATTATTTTAAACTTTCTTTTAAAAACTAAAGCAACAAGATTTGTTTTTTTTGCTAGAGTGACATTCCACATTACTGATATAGCAATGTTGCAATATTTTTATGCATACACTACTCCATAGTGGAATGACTTTGTATATATATATATTTTTTTTTTTCGGTAGCTAATACATTTGAAGACATGCCACATGTGTATTTGATAATAACTATAAATGTACTTATTTTATTGTCTTTATATGTGTTTTTCATTTTGTGATTTTCACAGCATTTCATACATAGGTCTCGTACTTTAGTGAAGAGAATTGTTTTGATATGTAGATATAATATATTATTACTTTGTTAGAAATTATAACCAAGTTGAGAATTGTGTGCATAAATGATGCATTACAAAACATGAATATTTGACCTTGAATGAATTACCCTTGTGTGACCTTGACCTGCATGTATTGTAACCTTGGTAGGCATGGCAACAGCTCAATTCTAGTTGTAGTGGCTTTCTTACAGTTACTCTCTTTATTTCCTGTTTTGGAATTATGTGGCAGAGAAAGAAAATTGGGGGGCAAAGGGAGATTTTTGATTGGGAAAATTAAAAGAATAATTGAAGAATTAAATAAATTAATCAAACACAGCCGGCTTGATTGTAAAATTTGTCAAGAATAAGTTCAAACTTTTTTACCAATGAAATACGATGCAGACTTTTGACCAGGCTATATAAAAAAGAGAAATGTTAAGATAGAAGGAAGTCAAGTGATAAAAAAATTGATAAAAGAATAATACGAAATGTGCAAAAATGGATTTAAGTAAGATGTATTTAAAGCAAAAAATTAATTAAATAACTTTTATCTGTTTGTGCCTGAAATATGGTAATGCACGAAGGGCACCCGAGGTCTTCCTCGACCAGTAAAGCTTGAACATCGCCATATGACCTATACTGTGTTGGTGCAACATAAAACTAAACCAAAAAAAAATATTTTTAAAAATTACTTTTTTATTTCCATTTATATGTAATACAGGACTGTCTTATGTATTCATGTTTACACTATAAACCAAATGCAGCATGCAGGGTCAAGCAACACAAGGTCGGTGACATAAGAACTGCACATTATGATAATCAACTTGGTGTGATTTCAAATAAGGCATGTTAAAATACTTGAAAAAAAAAATGATATAGGGTAGCACATTCCAAAACACATGTCATTCGTTTCACATGCATTTCACATAGTTCACATTTTTTGTCTGTGTTTTAAAGTTGACAACATTTTATTTGCTTGATATATTCTGATTTAGTTAACTATTTGTTCTGTTTAAGTAAAGAAACAGTATTTTTTTCAAAGTGTAATGTATCAATAAAAAAAAACTACAATGAAAAAAAAAACAAAAAAAAACACATTTTAGTAACAACTATGGCTGTTGGCAACCAAGAATGATTTTTGAAAGTTGAATGTTTTGGTTTTAGTGATGAACATGTAAGAGACATAAACAGATATAAACAGACATAACATAACAGACATAAACAGACATAAACAGACATAACATAACAGACATAAATTGTACATAGATATAATGTCAGAGTCATCATCTTGTAAAGTCATTTTAAACTCTCAACTTTTTTAAGCTTTTCAGAATTTCTTATAGCTTCTTTTTTTTGGAAATGAAAATGAAAAAGGGGGTTTCAAATCATTAAAAGAAAACTGTTTTCACTTTTGTATCTATTTTCAGCATCAGTGTTTCTTTAAGTAAAAATATGCCAAAAAAATATTTGGGAAAAAATATCTTATGAATTGAAAAAATAAAATTAGATATAATATAACAGATTTGATAGTGAATTCAGAAATGCTTAAAAAGATTGGAAGTATATTAGTATAACACATAAAATATAATTGTACATTTTGTGAATGAGTGGTGCGAGATTTCATTATTTTTTATGGATATTAACAAATCCATTGGATTGTTGCAAAGTTTGTATACATACTTTATCACTGTTAAAAAATGACATGTAGTGCCAATCTTTGATTAAATTATGTGTCTGTAACATCCTTGTGTAGAAAATAAGAACAACAAAAATACAAAATTTTATATTAAAAGGACATTCACAATATTTATCTGTGTTAGTGTGATTATTCAGTGGCTTGGTGAAAAAAAAGAAATTAAAAAAGAAAAATATGTGAGGCAGAAGAATGTAGCTTTAAATATTAAGTTGCAAACATGCATGTCTCGGACAACAGATTGAAACGAAATTGTCGCAATGTGTCGAAGGCTGTAAGGAATTGTGTACTTAAAAACGTGAAGCGAAATTGATGATTATATACAGTGTGGGTTTTCATCTAAATGGGACAAATAAGAAACCGGTCTCATTTGAATTGGTCCAATATTTTTTTTAACTTTGTTTGAAAAGCTGCTTTTATGCTGTGTAAAGCAATGGGCCTGTTTTAGGGAGTAATTATTCGTTAAAGATTTGATGCAAATGTTACTTGTGTATATTTCACAATGCTATTGAATGTACATGTATGATTACTGCGTGTAAAGGTATGCGAAATTCACTGAACAGTTTTCTTGTTTGAATTCGTATTGTTTTGGTATTACCAAATATATCTCCTTTATATAAGTTATAAGAATTACATCATTTTGGATGAATTTGTATTCTTAGTTAATAAAATTTTTTTTTCCGAATGTATTTGGCTTGCTTGATTGAAAAGTTTTGGTTGTAATTACAGAAAGACTTGACGACGTGTTCTAAAATACCGAGGTAATAAGCAACTTGTTCTGTTCACACAATATATGCATATTATTATGTTACTTTGAGATTTCTTAACAGAAGTGCATAGTATAGAAGTTACTGTATGAACTCGTTTAAAAAAGCAACACATGT